GCAAATAAAAAAACCTTGTAGTGAAGTTTCTGGAACTTCACCCATACAATAAAAAAGTAATTGCTATAGGGGCCCTTTAGACCAAGGAAAAAGACAGTTAATATTAAAAGAAGAGTTGTGGGGTAAATGTTAGGACAGTATATGGATCAGGATAATGGGAGATTGCACAACATAAAAAGAAAACCAACACATGCTGAAACTAAAATCCTTACCCTGAGCGCAGGTTATCAAAAAACACAAGAGCTAATAATCTATAGCTGTTAGCTTGTAGCCTAGTAGCTTCTGCCTCTTTCTGCTAGCAATTATGATCATGACCCTGAAAAACAAACCGTGAAATACTTAGTATCTATTCAGTCAGCTGTTCACTTTTCTCCACTTGCCCGTTTACCCACACATTGCAATGGCCAATAAACTGCCCCTGGCTGTCGGCCATTTTGTATATTCACACATTTGGAGGCGTGCGAGCCCCAGTAATGGCGTATCCATTGGCAGCAGCCTGCAGTTCCTGGTAGCGATCCACATGTTGTCTATAAAAGTCCTAATGGGGCGCTGCCTGGCTATTTGGCAACGGGAATAACCAATAACAATTTGTAAAACCTCATTTCTCTCTCTAATCAGAAACAGACTTTGTTTTTGGACCATTGGGATTTCTTCAGGCTCTCTGAATGAATAGTTGGCTTTAGCAAGAGTTACCATTGGACATCAAGAGTGTAGGGAAAAGACTCAAAGGCCGATGATTTGATTTGCCTCCAATTTGCCCCTTATTTTCTTCCTCCCTGGCTCTTTAACTCCGCTTTCTTAACACACACACCTTCACTCTTATGTGAGTGGCTATTATTTAGCTCGTAACCAAGCACTACTTTCTTTTCTCAGTCAGCCGGTAGCCTAAGTGCTTATTGGAAAGCTATCAGTACTCCTTGCATGTAGGTTGAGTATGTGGAAAGCACAGACGAGAGAAAAAAACATTTCAATAGTGCATTACATTTATTTGATTTATGATACACTTTATAAGAGAAGCTAAATCCACAATGCAATACAGTACATGTGCAGGAATACGATAAACAAATAGGCCATGATTGCGTTTTCAAAGTATAGAAAAAATATTATGTATTTGTTTTCATGTTTGGATTTTTTATGAGAGTTCCATTTCTATTTGTTAAGCTACTGTAGAAGATGAACTCGTATGATGTCAACCAACACTTAAAATATAAAAAGTACTTATATCTGCATAGCCCTATATATATAATATACATATAGATAGTGCTACATAATATATGCAAGGAATGAAACTATACTACTAAATACTCATCGACATTAAAAGTGTCCAAGGTAACAGTTAACTGATGGTATTAGCAAACTAGTCTTCCGGACATTGTACTGTATGCTGATATCTTACATTTGTATGGAAAACAAATTGGTAAGCAAGTAGCATTGCTTACATACTGGCCATTGTACCTTTTTAAAAAGTAATATCCTTCTTGAATCACCTTCACTAAGCTGTGTCAATGATTATTTACTATTTAGATATAGTATATACATACTACTCAGTTAAGGTTGTAAATGTTTCCTCCCTATATTTTTCACATTTTCGAGATTTATTAAATTCTCAAAAACCCTGTCTCATAACTTTGATGTTGTTAGACTTTTTCATCTTCTTGGTGCTATCGGCTTACCAAATTGTACTGACGTGATCTGGTTTGTTTTGAAGTTTTTGCTTCATATTAGTTTCAGGGTCAGTTATCTGAAGCTGTCACATCAGATCAGAACAAATCAAACCCAGAGAGAGGAAATTGGAAACCTGCCAGTCAGTCTTTGAATATTGTGTTGTTTTTGTTTTTGTCATTATCAAATGCCCTGGTTTAAATAAACATCACCTGAACTGGATCCGGACAGCTGTTTGTTCCAGGGTCAACACAGTGTGTCTGCCATTTTCTGGCATCCATTGTTGGAAGCTCTGTGCTGTGGCAGGTGCTTGCAGATGGAAACATAAAATAAAATGTGATGCAGGATCAGGTGTGTTATAACATAAATCTCCACTCACAGGCTGCAGCTTTCTATGAGGACTTTGCCAAAGAGCTGATCAAACATCCTCAGTTACTTGTGGCTCATATAGCTGTTTGTTGTATATTTTAGTTTTTCTATATGTAAACCAAACTTAAAGTGGACCTATCATGCTATATTTGAATAATATAGTGTAGGACCATACCTATATAAGGCATATTTATACTTTTTTTTTTTTTCAAAATACCAAACAGATCATGCATTTTAGCCATGCCTCATTTTGCTCAATTTGACAATTTCTAGCTCTGGTCAGATTCAGTGAGAACAGCACCATCTACTGGCCTGGCATATGTATTACAGCGTCTCCAGCGCTTTCGAACGCCAATGGCCATGGCTGTCTTCTCCTGATTGGTGGAGTTGGCCCAATAGCCGTAGCGCCACTGTCCTGACGTCAGGACAGTGTTCAAATCTGGATCAGTTTTTATCAGATCCGTTGCAGCCCCTTTTTTAGAGATTTGGGTATGGAGGAAAATAGAGAGGGTTGTGTTTTCTGACACTTGGTGAGTTCCCTGGAACACCGGGGACACCTATTCATGTATAAAAGATGTACAAAAGTGCATTTTGCATGATAGGTCCCCTTTAAAGAACCAACTTATACTGTTGCTACTTTGATAGAGAAGATATTGTGTGTTATGTGGATCCAATCCAAGATAATCTCCACAACTATTGCCATGAATTTGGGTTTAGCTATTCAAGGTCCACAGAGGATAATTCCCCATAATTTCTGCAAAACCTTGGCCTGGCACCAGTATCAGCTTTCCATAAGCACCATTATAGTATATATGTCTTATATCTTGTATTGAGTGGTGGTTAGTAAAACGGAGTATCTGGTTCTGCATGAGGTGTCCTTTAGGTTTACTTTACTTTAGCACTTACACCATTGTGTATTCCAAGAACTGCAAAATAACCGATTCCCTCAATGAGTCAATTATGTAGTCTATTAGGGCTGTGCGATTATGGCAAAAATCATAATCACGATTATTTGGGTCAATAATTGATATCACGATTATTAAATACGATTATTCATTGACTTTGAAAAAATCTATTTATTGAACTTTAAAACAAATACAAATAATAATTTGAACAGTATCTTTTTAACTGTTGATTACCCTGAACGTATAATTCAACTGAAAAACCAATACAAAAATAAATAAAATAAATGATACATATATATTTACATTTAAATAAATAATATCAAAATAATAAATACCAATAAACAAGATCAACAAATATTTTGGAGCGCACTTCCACAAGCTACTAAACATATATAAATAATACAAATAAATTAGAACAAAATTAATTAGATCAAATATGTTGCAGTGCACTGTCACAACCTAGCAAAGCAAAATAATTGTTTTTTCCGATTATGTTGTTTTCGTAATTGTGGCAGGCCAAAATCGTAATTGCGATTAAAATACGATTAATTGCACAGCCCTATAGTCTATGTATATATCTGGGACTACATGATGAGATTGTAGTGGATGTCTGTGGCCTTTTCTTGCAAGTAATCACCCAAACTCATATGCTCCGGGCTAATGCAATTATTAGTTTGTGAAAGACATCACTCATTAGGTCGGTTCATGAGTAAACTGGCAATGTCAAGGTTGTTACTGAGCACAATATTTATTTCCCAACTAGGGGAAATGGTGGTGGATTTTGCCATTTTCAATGACCCTATTGTTTCTTCCTCATATTAATTTCTGTCAAAGCTCAAAATAGGTTTGGTTTTTAGCTCATTGATTGTGGTTTTGCTGGGTAAAAATGCAGCTCTGCTAATCAGAGCTTTGAAGGCATGTTCAAAAAATAGGATTTTAGCATGGACAGAAATAGTAAAGCAAACAAAAATCCCAGAAACGTTACATTCTGGTCTATAACTTTCATTCTGCATAGTGAACAATGCGGGATCTAGTGGACCCTAATGAGCTTTGTTTGTTTTTTGGTATTCCAGCTTTGTTTACTCTCATTGTACTGATTCCCCTATTCTCCGCCAGCCTCAACATTCCAAAGATGTGCCTCTTCATCTCCCTGCATCTCCCGTCAAACAAAAATGAAAATCCGAACGTACACAATTAGATTTCCTTGTTTTTGCTGACTGGTGCTTTGGAGTCTCGTCTATAGCTTTCAGCACTTTTTCACTGGGCCCCTGTCTTGTGCCATTTGTTTCAGTTAGTGGGTATTGTGCCTGGTTGTCAAAAACGATTGGCTTTGGTGGTCTGAGACTTGCACTCCAAAGCACGGTGGACAGTAAATTGTATTTTTCCACAGAGTTATTAGGCTATTATTATGGCGCTTGAAGTGAACAATGCCTCCTCGTCTTCACACGCACACAATTAGAATCATCATTAATCGGCACTATCAGCACATCAATGGGGCAGAGGGGGTATAATGGAGTTATAGACCACTTATGGGGCAATCAATCAATGCGATTGCTAACTAAACTGTCTTTCATCGTGCTTGTACAGAGTGGCCGGTCAGTATTGGAGTGGAGTCTGTGAGATGAATGTTTATGGCATGTTATTTGTACTAATGCTCAGATATAACCCATCTTTTATCTTAAGGTCATTTTCTACACAGTCTCTGCAGCTGCATCACAAATCTCTAAGCAATCATGGCTCGCTTCACCATGGAGGCCCAATGGCTGCAGGAATGGAAGAATACACAACAGCCAGACAAGAAAATGAGACTGTAAATGATTGCTGTTAATTATACAAAGAGTGTCCAGCACCAACAAGCAAATAAAGTTAACATTTATCAGACCAAGCCACATATGTTTCTCTCAGACGACTTAATAGAAGATACAGGAGGAATGAATATTGGACTTATATTCAACACGACTATAACATTATGAAAATGTTTCCCTACTGAATGTTACAATATGAAATTTCACTGACATTTCCTTCAATAATAATAAATGTAATTTTCTTTCTGTCTCATTTCAGATGACCCAAGAACAGTGCACTCATAGGAACAATGTCCAGAGTTCAGAGAAACCCCAAGTGTACAAAGTGGGAATATACGGCTGGAGGAAACGCTGCCTTTACTTCTTTGTCCTGCTGCTGATGATCTTGATCCTGATCAACTTGGCACTAACTATCTGGATCCTCAAGGTCATGAACTTCACCATAGTAAGTCATCATTTATCTTTTATTTCTTTGGAAACAAGTACCAATGAAGTGCATGAAGTAGTCCTCATAAAGTCATTTTGTTCAGGGGTGGGATTAGTTGAATCCTTCTATGATAAATATTTGAGTTACCCAACTTATCATCCCGGCAGTGGCGAACCGTGTCTACCACAACTGGACCTTCTGCACACACCCCCCTGTACGCCGCCGTTATAATGTCCGTCTTTTCACTGAATTGTTGTCTTGAAAAGGGTACTGACAACAATTCCGCAACATTATCATCTTCACCTGTTGCCATTTCAACGTTAAAAACAGTAAAATGGCAAATTGCTACGTCGCATTTACCTAGATCCTCTGTCTCGAGCCAGTGAACTAACGGGCCTTCTAGAATACCCTGGAACCGAGGGAAACTCTGAAAGAATACGCCCATTGGCTACAAATCGATATATGATTGGTTGATCAACCTGTCAATCCAAACGTACGCTCTCATTCAGTGCAACGGCCAGGGCATTCTATCAAGGATATGGAATACCTTGGTTGAAGGATATTCTACCCAGAGACCCAGAAAAAGATCTGATTGGTTGCATTTTTTTTCTAACACAAAACCACTCAAATGCGTAGAGCATGGTCCGAGAAGGACAAACAAATCAACCTAACACTGTAATTTTACAGATCAACAACACAGATACAATTGTCATGTATTCAGTTTTATTTACATTTTATTTATATAATTAAATCAATTTTTTGTTTGTTTTATCTGAGTGTTCTAGGGTATTCTCTGAATACTTTGAAGGCCCTCACGGTTCACCAATGCATCCCGGGTTATTCATTAAATGTTTAACAGTGACCCTCCGATAACACGGTCACATACTGTATATATCTTTGATGGTCCTACCACCACTCTATCTTACATTTCATACAGACCTACATTTGCTCCACACTGATTTTGTGTTCTTCTTCACAATCCATCTGTATCACATAGGTTACGATGTTATCTGCTTGTTACATGCTGCCTTGATTCACGTGTGAAAGTTTGGTTCAGTTTTCAGAGTAGTGTGATCTACACACTTTGTAATTACTCTTTGTTGCTACTATGGACAAGGCCTGTAATTGGTCTAAAATGTGTTTACCATCAGAACTCAAATCAATAGAGTAAAGTAATTGGTACTGCCCAATGATTTCCCTGACATTTTCTCCAGTATATTTATGCTGTGACTGTGGATGTTACCAGAAGCTGTGAAGTATTATTGATTTAATAACACTTTTGTTCTAAACTATTAATGCTAGCTATCCTTGCTTTGTTGTATTTATTCCATCATAATTGTTTTGTTGTTGTTTATTTTCATTAACCTGATGAACCGTTCATCAGATTAATATCCCAACAAACTCAAAGTAAAAACAACTTAATTTCCCATGTTACAATCGGGGCATTACTGACACCAGGAACCAAATGCATGAAACTTTGTCTATAGTAGGTTCATGAGTTAACCTCTGCTTACACAAATACATAGACACGCTTACACATTAGATTTGTCATCAGCAAACATCAAGGATGTAGTTTATCCACAAACTGTACATCTCTCTATAACTTCATGTGTTGGGATGTTTGTGTGTTTTTTTGCGAAACATATACAGTACAACTCCAATTTTCAGTATCTGATATGGCATTAGCTTACTTTTTTTTAATTTATTTTATGCATCAGGCCCCAGGTGTTGGAGGTTTTACAAACCGGGGTTACAGTCTGTTTAAGCAGTCAATTATTGTGCAATAAAAGAGAGAAAATATGCATTCCAATAAAAAGTACCATGGACGATTAGTTTAGGTATGGTAACGAGAATAACGATGTTTGTAATTATCAGATTATTCTTCCATCCATGTTTGCAGTACTGCCATCTTCTCATCCTAGTTTCCGTTTGCTAATTCTCAATGTTTCTGTCAGTATGCTCCACTCTCTCCCTGCTTAGTAATCCACTGTGCCTGTGATGAGTCAGATACAGATTCGACAGACTACGACACACACACATTTGCAGTATATAGCACATACAAACACACACACACACACGCAATCGTTGCTGTGAATAATGCATAAGGTTTGCCTCGCAGTGGGGCTTTAATATGAGATCTACATAAATCAAAGAGCATGTTTCTCTGATGAGGAGCTGTATGTTCTGACGGAGCGCTGCACTTAGGCTTTTACAACCTTTTTAATGCATCTTCCTGAAGATATAGGATTAGAAAAACATTGGAAATGAGTTAGATAAGTTTGAAATGGAAGCATGTAGCACCACCCCCTTCCTGTCCTAGGATAGAAGTTTATCAACTTTATGTCTTTTTTGCATCACATGACTTTCAAATCAGAACTGTTTCTTAAGTTCCAGCATATTGTCATGGCTTTTGTTGAACGTTGGATGTGAATTGGCACATTTCTGAATAAACTAAGTTTTGGTACAAACATATACAGCTATTCATAAAAAAAACTAAAACCTTTTTCATTAGATATTTGCCTTTTTTTTATCAGGAAGGTTGTTGCGTTTTCATTTGGATGGACAGTGCTTGTGCTTTCTACTAAAAAATGGTTGGCTAGCATCTGATAATATATGCTCCCTTTTTTCTGTGATTGGATTTAATACAGGGCCTTTAGGGTATGAAACTGTAACTTTGAGACAGTGGAAGGCAACACATTTGATTTTTTCTCACATACAGCAACTTGCAGACTGTGTGGAATGCTAAACATTGCCTAATCCTAAGGCTAAAGCAAAAGCAGTAATTTGGAGAGCCCACACTTCTTAGTCAGGGTCACACACTTAAAGAGCTCAGGGCGGTAAAGTCATTATAAGTTAATAGAATACTCATAAATTAAAAATGAAGGGTTAAAATGTTCCCAATTAGGATTGTGCAACATTTGGAGCATAGTTACTCTCATTTGACCCTGTTTAGGATTTTCTATAAAGCTGTCAAATAGGGCAGTGTCTGCAGCTGGTGTCTCCGTCTCTGAAGGTCCGTTTCCAGCGAGGTCGTTATGACATTGAATGATTTTCTTCAATCCAATGCATCAGCACAAGAGTAGTGTGAAACAAAGTAATGGGCCTGTAGGATGTAATGATATGTTTGCGTTTCAATCACTATAAGGCTTTGAGGTGTGACTGTTATCTTAGTGTGATAGTATATGCAGTTCATGTCTGTTATTTGTCGTACAGGTGTGTCTGTATGTGTGTGTGTGTGTTTGAATTTCCTTGCCTCTGTCTCCAGAGATCTACAGCTCGTAGGCCGTATTTCCTGCTTCTCATCATGTTAAATAGGCTCGTTGTAGCAGCGAAGACTGCCGAGGGCTCTCAGATTGAGACAGATTGAAATGGCTGCACCTCATGTACATGGCGGTCCAGAGTCGGTGTGGTAATGAGGAAAGAGAGGGGGAAGTGATATATTTGCTGCCCTTCCTTCCAGGTCCTTCCACTCCAGTGAACCAGGCCTTTGCAGCAGCCAGACAAAATGGCCTGGAGTTGGAAAGGAACAGATGCAATGGTGAAACTTCAGTAGTGTTAAGATTTGAGTGTCAGCTTTCCGGTTTTTGAGCTAAAACTATCAAAAACTGGGTAAAATGATACTGCACAAAGGGCTGGGGGTTTGTTCCCATTGTGCGTAGACTCTATTTGGAACGTGGAAGCACAGTTTGCTTCATACTGATAACAAAACATGGTTAATATATCATATCTTCAAGTTTTGGTCCAATTTTATCACTGCTAATAGTTATAATAATAATAATAATAATAATAACTTAAACGTATGTAGCTCCATAAACCCAAGGATGCACTGCTGTTTGAATTACCATTAAGGTATTTAAATTAAGAAATTAGTGCCCAAAATGTTTTAATAGTTAGTGTTTAATTCTTGTTTTTGTTAAGCATTTAAAATGCTGTATCATCACATGTTTGAGAATCTGCAGCACTATTAACATTATATTTCCCATACTGTACATACCCATACATTCTGAGGTTATGATGATAGATAGATAGATAGATAGATAGATAGATCGTACTTTATTGATTGACAAAATATACAAGAATAGAAATAAAATAAAATAAAATAGAAAATAGAAAATATACATGTCGAAATAGAAAATATACATGCAGATATTATATATATATATATATACAAATATATATATATATATATATTCAAAATATATGAAATATGGAGTATTAAATATGAAACAGATTATGTATGAGTAAAATAAAATGTACAGCGTGGTTTTATTTCAAGAGAAACTATGGAGCAGAGAGTTCTCTTCCAGCCAGAGGTGATTTATTGTACAGTGTTATTGCAGTGGGCAGGAATGTAATGTGTGCTCTTTAAGCAAGAAACATTGTTTTATACTTAAGCAATAGCTCACGACAGGCCGTGGTATATGCTCATTATATCACAGCTAAGGGGCGTGGTTCGGCCCGACGCGAAGCGGAGGGTCGACAACCCCCTTAGCTGTGATATAATGACCTTATTACATGGCTTAGTTGAATACTCGATTCTGATTGGTCAATTCAGAACACGTGACACGTTGTTAATCCAGAACAGACAGACCGCTGTCAAGGACTTATTGACCGTTGTTAAGGACGCTCACATCTGCACAAAGAAGTCCGTTCGATTTAACTGTGTATACAGTTTTGGCCGAAAAGCAAACTGCATGCAGTTTGCTTTTCTAACTGACAAGACAAGAGCGACAAGCAAACAGCGGAGAAGTAACGGGCAGAAACCCTCCTTTTTACGCAGCGTCCAGACATAGACATCAAACGGCGACACATATTCAGTTGCCAGTTACTTTGGCATTAGGGCAGGGATATCTAGATACTTTCCAAGGTTTGAAATAATGAATTGTGCTACTTTTAAAGCAAGCAACGATGTTTTCAAATCTGTAATCAAAAAGCTCCGCCTTCCTGCCGTTGCTACGTTTTTCAAACGGTAAACCTTGGAAAGTATCTAAATATCCCTGCCCTAATGCCAAAGGAAC